TGGAGGAAAAAGTTTCCACGTACTGGAACAAAAATCACTTACTGAGCACATTTTCCCTCTTTGGTGCAATGGCGTATTACTGATGATCTTTGCCTGTCATTCTGTTCATGAATGGTGCTCATCTTTCTGAGCAACATTCTTTTGAGGAAGATATTATGTTCAGATGTGTCGCCTCCCATCTAAATTTATATTTTAAAAAGAAAATCTGCATACCTGCCTGCTGTGGTGATTGCTGCCAAACCTTCAGCAATCAAAAGACATATGGTTCAAATTTTAGATCTTGGCGGACTGTCAGCCTGTGCTTCAAAAGTTCTAAATTTAGCCAAAAAGTAACCACAGCAACAACAAACTGCTGTATCACCTTAATATTAAAGCAATCTATGTGAACACTTTGGGTATACAAAGAATGAATCTTTATGCTGTAGCCTACGCATTAAGATGCAATTTTATCTGTTTAGAAGTGTACATTTTTATGGCCATTAAAGAAATTAACTGTTTAAGAGGTTCCACATTGAAACATTGATCCTTTGCTCTAGTTTCAGACTTCAGCCGTTGCCATATCTCTTCTTCTAGACACACATTTTTTTAAAAAAAATTGGCCCCTATTGAGGTGGCTGAGTGTTATTTATTTACTTCATGGAAACTTTACCTTTCACCCCAATGGGGACCCAAAGTGGCTTACATCGTTCTCCTCCCCTCCATTTTATCCTCACAGCAACAACCCTGTGGGGTAGGCTTGAAAGGGAAGAAAAAAGAAGAAAATGTCCATTTGAAGTTGAAAATCTTCCTATTGTACTCTGGGGGGGGGGGAGAGAAGGAGAAAGAAGACCACATTATTAGATCTCTTCAGACCATTTTGATGGCTGCCATAGTACCCTGCTTCATCCTACCAAGGGTTCCTTATTTCCCTGAGGGGATTATCGTGCAAAAAGCCCTGCTTAAAAAGTACCCAATGTGATACTAGAATGCCTCATTCCAAGGAGCACAGCCTCTGCCTTCTATGCTTGGGTGAAGAGCATAATGTACAGGCTTGCTGAGTGTGTCAGGAGTTCACTCCAAAGGCAAGGAATGACAGAGCATCCTGTTTGAAAGCTGTCTTATAGGAGAAGGCCCAGGTCGCCGCCACTGCCAAGTCTGCCTTTTTTCATCTGAGGCAGATCAGACAGTTGGCCCCATACCTCACCCCCCACAATCTAGCTGCAGTGACCCATGCAACAGTCATTTCCAGATTAGATTACTGTAATTCTATGTGGGCCTTACCTTGGCTCTGCTCCAGAAATTACAGCTAGTGCACAACGCAGTGGCATGGGTGTTGATGTTGCTGCCTGTGCTGGCACATATCCACCCGGTGCTGCATGACCTGCACTGGCTACCTATTGAATACCAGATCCATTTCAAGATGTTGGTACCTTGAAGCCCTATATGGCCAGGGGTCCACATATCTTTGAGATTGCCTCTCCCAATATGAGCTCCGTAGAACATTGTGTTCTACGAACCAACATCTCCTGGTAGTCCCTGGCCCTAGGGATGTCCAACTTGCCTCAACTCGAATGAGCTACCTTATAAAATCAGGGCCCTGCGGGATCTGTTACAATACCGCAGGGCCTGCAAGTGAGCTCTTTCGCCAGGCTTTTAGTTGAGGCAGCGGGCATCCATTTGATTTGGCCTCCCCTTCAGTGACCACAGGTCCTAAAAGTCTGATGGGACCACAACCAGGGGTCATTTCCTGCAGGAGCGCACAGGAGCGGAGCTCCGGCAGTAAAGAGCCCAGGGGGCTGGCACATGCAACAAGCCCCACCCCCCTGCTCCCAGCAGCCCAGTCAGAGCAAGAAGCAGCCAGGTAAGTTGCAGAGCTCCCCCCGGCCCAAAACAGTCCAGTGGCACCTTTAAGACCAAGTTTTATTCAGGTACAAGCTCTCCCTCCTCTGCGAGGACAGGTCTGCACGTTCCCCCCCCCCCAATAGCTACCAATCCAAAACAGTCCAGTGGATCCTGAGCGGTGGGTGTTGCCTTTGGACACTCTTCCGGTGATGTCAGGGGATGTGGCATATGCAAATAAGTTATGCTAATGAGCTCCTGCACCTCTTTTTCTACGAAATGACCCCTGACCACAACATTATCTGTTGAGGCACGTTATTGTTTTAGTCTGTGGTGATCTTACTGATTTTAAATGGATTGTTATAATGTGTTTTATTGCAGATCTTAATTGTAAATTATTAACTGTTTTAATTGCAAATCTGCATTATTGTAAACCTATATGTTGGTACCTGCCCAGAGCCTACAATGTGGGGAGGGCGGGATATAAGTCTAAATAAATAAATAAATATCTTCCTGTGATCGACCTTCTGAATCCACACCATCCGCTGACCAAAACCCAAAACCAGCCTCCATGGTCTCCGTTACATTGGTTCTATCAGCGACGTGCTCCAAACTTACTCAATGATGTTCCTTGTCTCTAACCCCTTTGGTTCCATGCAGTGGATCGGAACCACCAGCCAAGAAGAGCAAGAAGAAATTGAAGCATAGGGATAGATCTAAGCCAGAATCTCAGACTCACCACCCCCAATCAGTTCCTAAATATCCTTTGCCTGAATCTGAGGCCCACATTACTGAGCCACCAGAGACTCCATCATTGCATTTGACCTCACCTCCACAATCCATCTTCAAAGGAGACATCGCCTCGGATCCGGTTCCATCTGTGGATCCAAGAACAGGTTGTATGGATCTGACAACTTCTTCTTCTTGGCATCACCCATATCTTCTTTCCTTGTGGCAGCCGTATCCATACTATATGTCCCCAGCTTACCTACAGGACTGGCCTGACTGCCCTCCACCTCTGCAGTATACCTAACCACAGCCATTCCAACCTCTGCATCCTCGGATTTGCTCGTCTGCTTCTCTCCCCCCCCAGCCACATTCTGAAGTGCCTCCAGTTGACTCTCATGAGGGAGAGGATGAGTTATAGCCAGATCCAAACACAGCTCTGTGATACCATCACATGAGAATATTGAGGGTTGTGAAGGGATAGCCCACTTTGAAAATGATTTTGTGAACTGAATACGCTGAGCAGCTCCAACTGAATGAAACTACAAAAATGTCGGAGCAAACAGCTGAGAAGGTGAAGGAAATGGATGCCAAATCTAAAAAGGTGAACAAAAGGGTGCAGTTGCTGGAAAAGAAACAAGTTTCGGATGAATCTCAGCTTTTGCAGATACAAATGGAGAAAGCTAACCTTGTTCTCCAGTTTCAAGGAGTCCCTGAGGCTAAAGATGAGAATCTAAAACAAATACTGAGTGATGCGCTGTCTCCAATTGCAGATTTAAAAGCGAAATATCTTATAAGCGAAAGGGATGTGGTCTATAGAGCCTATTCCGTATACATTAAGAAGAAGAATCTGCCTGGAGAGATAGTGGTAAGATTCTCGAAGAGACATGTGAGGGACCAAATTTTGAAAGCAACATCAGGAGTACCCCTGAAAATTGGAGGCAATATCATCAAGATCCTAAAAGACATCCCATTTGAAATAAGGAAGAAGAGGAAGAAATATAAAGACTTGATTATGTTCTTACAAACAAACAGCATTCCTTATAGATGGTTGGTTCCCGAAGACGTCTTTTTCAAACTTAAGGACAAAAAAAGAAAAAATTGACTCTGTTTCTAAAGCGCGGGAGTGTCTGACACTGCAACTGGGAGAGTCGGGTGAGGACGGCAAAGAAGACGAGGACAGTAAACCTAGCGATGGAACTGTTTCTTCTACTTCTACTTCCAATGAGGACTTTGCTTCTGAGAAGGGGGCAGCGGCTCCCCAAACCTGATTATCAATTGAGGATTAGAAAAGATAAAACAAAATGAAGGCTGAAGAACTCTGAATTGTGCTTTATAAGCTTTTATTAATTGGTGATGCTCTTGTGTCTCTCTTTAAGCAGTGAAATTACTGGTCATAAAGACAAATAATATAGCTTAAACAACCATGTTCAATGTAACTATAGCATTTTAGACTAATACTGATACAAGCTGTTGTAATGATCTCCTATACTTGGGTTTTTAGTGGTTTTCTTTCTTTTCTCCCTTAGTTGTAATGTCCCCCTCCCTTTTTGTTGTAGTTTATAGAAAAATGCAATAAAAAATCCCCTTGGGGGGCCAAAAAAGAAAGAAAGAAAGAAATGGTAGTCATAAGTGCAACACTTCAGTGGGTGCATAAAGAATGAATTGGTCCAATCTAGTTTTCTCATCACCCATTATTTTGAAGTAACAACCTGTAACTTTTTTAAAAAGTATCATTTTGAACAGGCAGAGATGGCATTTAGGACACAGCGCATTTCAATATATTACAATTTTAAAACATGAGTATTGAGATCTGCCTGCTATACAGGAAAGGTGGAGCGTGCTGTATCACCCAAAGAAAAGCCCCCCCCCCTAGAGATTTCGGGGGCGGGGTGTTACAAAAGGATGGAAACGTAGTGTCGCAAATTAAATCCGACCCAATTTAGACACTGAAGAACGAACAGCTACCCTCCGAAAAGTCTCTCCTGAGTAACTTTGCTTTGCAGTGGCACCAGAACGCTGAGGACATTTGGCTGGCCGGGAGACGGTTCTTGAAGCTAACGCTACTGCAAAGGCTCCAGCGAACGAGATTCGTCTCTGCTAGCAAGAAAGGAATTCCAACTCGGCGTTCCATGAAATTTCATTTGTACGTGTGAGCTGAATAAATTACTTGGAAGTGTTCCCTAAGGTATCTAAAATGCAGGAAGGAGGGCACACGCGCCTTGTTCTCTTTGCATAGTTTTTTTAATTAGGTCAAAATCGAAGCAATTTGGATGGTTTTACGAATAATAGAGGCATATAATGACCTAACAAGTAGACCCGCTGATTTAACCCTCCACACACACTCCTCCCCAGCCTAAATCTGCAAAGAAGTCACTTGGCACTTGAAGTCCACCGCGGACTACATTTCCCGAAAGGCTCAGCGAGCAGAGTAGTGCTCAGCCTCGGGCGGTGGCGCGAGTCCGGGTCGTTGCCCGCTATTGGCGGTTGTCCTTGCGTGGAAGAAGCCGCCTGCGTGCCCGCGAGGGGGTGAGTAGATAACTCAGGAAGGCTTCTAGAATAGGGGCACCGGGGAATAGGGGTACTGCAGATGCTCAGAGGTTAATTGCTAGCTGTTGTGTGTGTCTTTTGGAGAACACTGTTGAAAGCTCTTTTTCGGTCTGCTTGTGCTGGGAATGCACGCTCAGCTGTACTTCCGCTGTTTTGTTTCTTCACAAGTCCTAGATATGAATGCGGGCATAAGTTAAGCTGCCAGATCGATCTCCCCCTCCCCTCTCCCAATTAAGTGATTCCTCACTGAATCTCCTCATCCTTCTCGATGTGTGATAAACAATGTTTTCCGACCTAAAAAAAAATACACATTATTTTTTGTTATGTAATAGCTGTATAGGGCTGCAGGGGCCCAGTAGTTAAGATGCTGAAGTGTTAACCAGACGGGAAGGTCGGTAGTTCAGCAGTTCGAGACCCGAGTGCTGCATGATGGAGTGAGCTCCTGTCTCCGGCCCCAGCTCCTGCCAACCTAGCAGTTTGAAAACAAGGAATTGCAAGTAGATAAATAAGTACCGCTTTGGTGGGAAGGTAACAGCGTTCTGTGCGCCTTGGCGTCTAGCTATGCCGGCCACATGACCACGGAAATGTCTTCGAACAGTGCTGGCTCTTCGGCTTGGAAATGGAGATGAGCACCGCACCCTAGAGTTGGATTCGACTGGCTTTCGAGCAAGGGAAACCTTTACCTTTATAATGGCTGTATAGCGTTGTATTGCTGCGAGGTTTGCTTGGCATCATTTAAGAGTAGTAAAAAATACAAAAGCCAATGTGCTATAGGCACTTTCTATGAGCACAACAAAGTCTGAGTCCAATGGCACCTTTAAGACCAACAAAGTGTATGCACACACACTTCTTCAGATGCGATGAAATGGAAATTACCAGTCTGTACATATAGGTAGATGATGAGCAGCAAATTAACATACAGCATAATGAATGTGTTTAACAGATACAAGGACCATTATGTGTTACAATTTGTTTGGGTTTAATTCTGGGGGGAAACATAGTGAAGGAAATAAATATGTCAAAATTTCTATGATCAGTTATTTCCCACTGGGGGTGCACAGTCCTCCTATCTGTCCTTTGTTTTTTTGGGGGGGAGCAATTGGTCTCTTGGGATGCTGGACAAGCATTGTGGGTGCTTTACTAGACAATTCTTGTGACTCAGTGAGAAGCAGTAGTGACTGCAACTAAAGTTGTCAACTGAGTGGAGCGAAAAACTCTGTCCCTTTAATAGAGGTTTAATAGAATGTTATTTTCTCTTGTGCCATGAAAAACTTCAGCTGCTTATTCCACACGTTAAGCCCCTATTAAAAGGACACAATGTATTTTTTTCTCCAGGCCTGTTAGTAACCCTAACTGGAACTAGGCATTCCCCATTCAAACAAGCAGTACTTTACTCTCAGCAGGAGCTGCAACTATCAGTCTTTGAAGAGGTTGGTAAGAAAGTCCCCACTTCACCTATAAGCACGCACTGAAATAGTGTATCTGGGGTGGGGACTATCATATGCAAGTGTACCTGTATCCAGGGGTCATTTGGGGGGGGGACGCGGGGGGACGCCATCCCCCCGGGTGAGGTGCGGGAGGGCGGGGCCTGGAGCTCCCTGCTGGTGCCCGCTGGAGGTCGCCGCCGGCTGTGGGGAGGACACACTTCCGGTGATGTCAGGGGGTGTGGCATATGCTAATGAGTTATGCTAATGAGTCCCCCTAGCTCTTTTTCTACGAAATGACCCCTGCCTGTATCTGAACCACAGTATTACATGTTGCCAGAAAAATGTTATCTCTGTAACGTTTTCCTTATAAAAGTTTGGCTCCATCATCTCCAAGTTCAAAGCCATTTCCCACCTTAAATTGGAATCTGGCTTGAGGAGGGGCTGCAAAAAATAGGGGGAGGGTTATCACAGTTTTTACATACTCCACCTTGTGGGGCTTTAGTTCAGGGGGAGAGCACAAGTAGCAAGACTTGGAAAGACCCTGCTTTAAGGCCTTGGCAAGTTGCTGCCAGTGAAAGTACATAATACAAGGGTTTAGTAGGTCAGTTACTTGACCGTAGGAATTTTGTATGATCTGGAGACTCTGCCAGTAGCTTTAATAGCTCCAGGGCAGTGAGAACCTGAGGCAACAGGGGCCTCTGCCTGGATACGCTGTTGGTTGATTTTTCCTTCCCACTGCTGCTGAGTAAAGCCTGGCAAGAGGAGAAGGTGGAAAACAGATTTCAGTATGAGAATGGGAAAGGGCCACTCCTGCTGCTATGCTGTTTCCTGTCCTGAAGCTCTTAAAGCTTTGGGTAGAGTCTCAGGTCTGTAATTTGAGCTGTGGTCAGGTATGCGTGAACATGGCAATAATTTTCTTGATTACCTCTGCCAGGACTGTAATGTGGAACCAAATATGTAGTTGTCTGGGTTGGTTTGTATAGTGTAGTTAAATGTGCTTGAAAATGCCCTCCTAGTCTTGTAAAATTGTTAACTAGGAATAAAGCCCGTTGTGGAAATAAATACAATGAGATCTAGAAAGAGGCTCTGAGGGAGTGCTCTGGCTTTGGGCAAACAGTGTCAATTTGCTGTGGTGACCTCAGCAGGGTGTAATGACAGAGTCCACTGTTTTCTCCAGAGGAACTGATCTCTGCTACCTGAAGAGCAGTTGTAATTTTGAGTGATCTGTAGCCCTCACCTGGAGATTGGCAACAATTGTTACCCAGGAAGAAATGGCTGGTTTGGAGGGTGGAGTCTATGGCATTCTACCTGTCTGAGGTCCCATCCCTCCACAAACCCCACCCTCTCCAGGCTCCACCCCTCAAATTTCCAGGAATTTGCCAGCCTGGAGTTGGCAACCCCATCTCCTTCCCAGCTAACCATCTACCTACCATTATCTGCCCCTTTAACTTCAGCTGACTTCTGCCCTCCCTTCTGCAGAGCAGTTGTAATTCTGAGTGGTCTACAGCCCTCACCTGGAGATTGGCAACAATGGTTCCCCATGAGGGACTGACTGGTTTGGAGGGTGGAGTCTATGGCATTGTACCTGTCTGAGGTCCCACCCCTCCTCAAACCTCGCCCTCTTCAGGCTCCATCCCTCAAATCTCCAGGAATTTCCCATCTGGAGTTGGCAACCCTATCAGGACTGGCCCCAATGTGTTTTCTCCCAAAGGCCAAAGTAGGTGACAGGACCAAGCTTAGTTGCCTACCAACAGGCACTGAGGGGAAAGTAGGGTTGCTAGCTCTAAGGAGGGAAATACCTGGAGTTTTGGGGGGGGTGGATTTTGTAGAGGGCAGCATTGGGGGGGGGAAGGACTCAGCAGGTATAATGTCATAGGGTCTACCCTCCAAAGCAGCC